AAATGCTGTTTTTATATCAAGTTGCTCAACTTCTAAATTCAGGCGGGCAACCAAACCAAGAACAACTCGGATAGAGGACACTTTCACAATTGGAGAAAATATTTCTTCAAAGTCAATACCTTTCTTCTGACTGAATCCTTTCACAACTAGTCGTGCCTTGTATCTTTGTTGTGAGCTATTATTTTCAGTCTTCAATTTATAAACCCACTTATTCTTGAGAGCTTTCTTCTCTTTAGGTAATTTTACCAAGTCATAGGTGTGGTTCTCAAGTAAGGATCTTATCTCTTCTTGCATGGCTTTAACCCACTCACTCTTATTCTCATGTAGAATAGCTTCTTGGTAAGTTTCTAGCTCTCCCCCATCAATAAGCATAACATACTCATGTGGAGGATATCTGGTAGATGGTTGTCGCTCTCTAGTGGATCTTCTCAATGGAATCTCAACTAGTGGTCGAGGTACTTGTTCAGTTGGTTCAGCATTATCAACTGTAGGTGTATCATCACTGGTATTCTCACCACAATCTTCTTGTTCATCTCCCCCATGATCATCATGAACTACAGGTGAAGGAACTGGACCCAGACTCCAAGGAATATAAATAGAGGTTTTTGGCTTCTCAATATTATCACCATCATCAAACAATTGGTCTTCAAAAAACACAACATATCTGCTTCTAATAATCTTCTTGTTAACTGGATCCCATAATCTGTACCCAAACTCTTCATGACCATATCCCAAGAAGATACATGCTTTTGTTTTACTATTAAGCTTGGACATCTCATCTTTGGGAATATGAACAAATGCTTTACACCCAAAGACTCTTAAGTGATTATAAGATATATCTTTTCCTCTCCATACTCTCTCTGGAACATCACCTTTCAGAGGAACTAATAGAGAAAGATTTATCAGATCAATTGTAGTTCTCATAGCCTCCCCCCAAAATGACTTTGGTAACTTGGCATGGGAAAGCATACACCTAATCCTTTCTTCAATGGTTCTGTTCATCCTTTCTGCCACACCGTTCTGTTGAGGAGTTTTAGGAACTATTTTCTCAAGCCTGATACCATGGAACCTGCAATAATTCTCAAAAGGACCCCTATACTCACCACCATTATATGATCGAATACATTTTAGTTTTCTGTCATATTCTCTTTCAACACTAACATGAAACTCCTTGAAAACATCGAGTACCTAATCTTTAGATTTCAAAGAAAAAGCCCACATTTTTCTAGAATGGTCATCAATAAAAGTAACAAAATAAAAAGCACCTCCAAAAGTTCTAGTTTGCATAGTACAAACATCAGTATGAACTAAATCAATAACATCTGATTTTCTAGATGATGGATATGTCTGAAATGTAACTCAATGTGTTTTTCCAACTAAGCAATGATCATAATATTTAAGAGATGTACCTTGTAACTCTAGTAAGAACCGCTTTCTAGCAAGAGTTTGAAGTCCCTTCTCGCTGATATGTCCAAGCCTCTAATGCCAAAGATCTATACTTTCACCTTTTTTAATTGCATTAATCTCTCCTTTGTGTAACTTAGCTTCCATGACATAAAAAAAGTTAAGTTTCTTTCCTCTTGCCACGATCAAAAAACCTTTAGTGAGTTTCCATTTGCTTTCACCAAAATAGTGTACAAAGCCCTCATCATCAACTCTACCTGTAGATATCAAGTTAAGACGAATATCTAGAACATGTCTTACATCTTTAAGTATCAATTTGCTCCCAATACTGGTCTCCAAGCAAATATCTCCAATACCTACAATCTTAGATGTACCACTGTTTCCCATTCTGACATTACCAAAATCACTAGTAGTGTAAAATCTAAAGAAATCATCATGAGAAGTAACATGAAATGAAACACCAGAGTCAATTATCCAATTACTGTCCTAAGCTACAAGACTAACACAACCTTCATCACAAACAATAGTGATATTACCTTCAGCAGCAACTGTATTGGTCTTTCTCATTTTTTCTTCATTTCATTCTGTTCTCGCTTCCAAAACCTACACTCTTTCTTCATGTGACCTGGCCTATTATAGTGAAAACATTTAATATCTCTTCTAGACTTGGATCTTCCTCTATAACCATGTGGATTTCTGCTATGACTTCTTCCAAGTCTTTCTTGTTTTTCAGTAACAAATGCCCCAGAAGAAGATTCACCCTGTCTTTAACCATATCTATAGTTAGAGTCTCCTCTAGCGTGGAGTTACAAATTGTCACCACATATGTTTCCCAACTTTCTGGTAAAGAGCTAAGAAGTAATAATCCTTGCATCTCATCATCTATATTCATTTTCATAGCAACCAACTTGTTTACAAGACTTTAAAATAGGCTTATGTGCTCAACAATATTACCAACATCCTTATACTTCAAATTTACAAGTCTTCTGAGGAGAGAAATTCTATTTCCCACTGTCTTTTTCGCAAAGAGGTTTTCTAACCTTTGCCAAACAACATCAGCTCTAGTTTCATCTAAAATATGCTCATGCAAGTTTATATCCATCCATCTTCTAATATAGCCAATGGCTTTTCTATGTTGAACTTCCTATTTTTCATCGTCCATAGTAGAAGGTTTATCTTTAACCTTGATAGACTTATACAAATCTTTGCAATAGAGCAAATCTTCCATAAGATGCCTCCAAGTGGAATAATTTGATGAGTTCAATTTAATCATACTATCTGACCGCTCCATTTCAATCACACAAGAAAAACTAGCACCAAACAACCTGTTGCTCTAATACCACTTGTTGGAAAAAAACCTGTTAAAGCGGAATATTATTTTCCCTCTTTATGTATCAAAATGGGCTCCTCATCAAAATACCAACTTGATATCCAAATGAAAATTTCAACCAGGACAACATAAACAATAGAGCAAATAATCAATCACACAATGAGACCAAATCTTTTTAACGTGGAAAACCTAATGTGGGAAAAACCATGGGACCGTAGTCCACCTCAAACTTCCACTATCAATAATAAAGATAACAGGTTTACAATAGGTCTTCTCTAGAATAACTAAAGGATCACAATAACATCAAGATTATAGATCTTGGCTCAAGAATAACATATCTTCGTCACATATGATGTATCTCCTCGTAAGAGAATTTTAGGTCTTACAAAGTGGATATAAGAAAAAAGTATCTTAGAGAGGATAAACTATAGATCAACACCGTTAGGATTGTAGAGTTTGCTGTAAAAATTCTCCACATAAAATTTGGACCAAAACTGACGACGTTTGGCCACCGATCGTCAAGCAAAAAACTTAGAAACCTTATTTTCTCTCTTTGTGCACCGTCGCTGGATGCTGCACTCTCTAATTTTTGTTACCCTTATCTTTTCCCCTTTCTTTCAATTAGTGATTTGGATTTAATAGGTCAATTGTTCAAACCCAAATATGAACTGGACCCAACAGCTAGTATATTATGCTTTAAAGAAACAAAAGACCGGCTGGTGAACTAGGTATTTAGCACTTGAACCTCGTTGGTTCTTTACTCCCACTGAACAAAGCTATAATGCGTAAGTGAATTAAGGGGCTTAAAACACGTCAAGTCTCCATGTTAAAAGAAAGGCATGCAATAGAGCTAAAATTTCATGCAACATTAACAAAGTACGAGACTGAACTGATGGGCACGTTTTATATAGTTTAACATCCATTTAATTTCATTGCCCACCCCGTATAGACAAAATAAGAATAGCATTTGATACGTATGAATGTCAACTAATAACTCGATGTCTACAATAGTTCCTTCCCATATAAGATAGACTCGTCCGACATTTTCACATCAATTAGGTTCAAACCTCTTGAAGGGCTTTGTCTTCTTGTTCTTCAGCTTGTACTTTCGAGGAGGACTTCTCATTACGGATGCCTTCAAAGCGTGCAAGGGTTGCTAGCGTGCCGACAGCATCGACGACCCCTTGGATCCTCGCTGATATCTCAATAAGCAACGATGCTATTGTCATGAGAGGCATGGCTTCCATTAGGGCCACTCCATCTGCAATTGAGATGTTGCTGTTCTTCTTCCCTTCGGTTGATTCAATTGGGCTCGAGGCTGTTGTTTGCGTCAGGTGGTTGGGAAGCGATGCGAAAGCATTTTGGAGCTCGTGCACCGCATTCTTCATCTCTCCAACCAACGCATCAATGGATTTAGACCTTTTCATCAGCTTGATGGAGCTCGACAACTCCTTTAGGACCTTGGATGAGTCCGAGCTCAGTTTCATGCAAGCATCTCTCAGATGTTTCTTCATACATTCAGGAGCCTGACATCGATCAGTTCAAATCTTAGATCATATATCTTTTGATTCTATCTAGCTTGAGTGGTTATTTCGCGTCACAACATTACCTTAGCTTCTGAATTGATGCAGCCGTGGAGGGCCTCTACGCAGTAAGCACAGTTCCTCAGTGCAGCTGCGACCTTGAGATACTGTTTCCATGGATGTCTAAATCCAAAGCGACCATGTGCAGGTTCCCATCTCGCTAAATTTGCCTGTGAATCTTCAGATGCTTTTGAGTTTAGGACACACTTGTAGCCCTCCGACCGAGTGGCTGATGATTCTTTCGCATCCGTGATCTCGCTCTTCATGAAGTAATCCTCTACGCAACCTGTGCATGACTTGGAGGTGAGAAACGATCCATTTCACCTTACAGATCACATGGATATCGACGTTGTACGTGATAGATTCTTCCACATGCATGTTCTAGGGTTTCATAGAGAAAGAACATACCCTCTAAGGAATCAGCGAGCTTCTCCATGTTGCGGGAAACGAGGAGGTGAAGCTCTTGGCCGGACCAAACAGGGTAAACAAGTATGCAAATGGAAAGAGCAATAGCGATACCAATGGCGATGGTCGCTATGCGTTGCACTGCTAAATTAATCAGTTCTTCTACGCGGTAGCCGGAAACTGCTACCAAGCTGAAGGTGAGGATAAAGATGGTAACACCATAATCAAACCGAGCTTTCACTGTCGGCAAGAACCGGGAAAATGTTGCAGCTGAAGCTGTGTTTGTGCAGCAAAGGAGGAGGACAGTATTAGGCATTTATTTAGCTGGGATAAAATGATAGAGAATGGTGATTCTAGGTGAAGTTTCATACCTAGCAGGAAGACGGACGCACTCAGAATTACTGGTTCCCAACTTTCTCCGGATTTGCTTGCAACCCAGTCGATGCCAACTGCAAGACCGCCGGCGCTGAGTGTTGCTATTGCTCTGTTGATTCCTTTGTACAAGCACCCACCTGCATCCATGTCAATGCCAACTTTGTCACTTTTCAAGTACCGTGTCTTTTCTGTCATACATAGTGCTCTTAGTGCCTGCCCGTGCAACTCTTTTTTGTAAGCAAGTTGCGTCCACTGGAAAAAGACGAAGCCCAATGCGTCCACCAGATCACATCTGTCTATTCAAGTGGAGTGTGCATACATCGTCACTTTCTAGGCACAACTTTATTAAAACTGAACAGCTCAACGAGGTAGAGACCGTATAGGGGTAGCTAAAGAACGTGTTTGCCAGGTCATCAATGGACTTAGCTAGGGATCTAGAAATGAAATATGTGGAGTCCCAAGGGGCTCCTAGCTAGCTTTAGAACTTGGAAACCTTGTAATGATGTTCTTAACTCGTGATGAGATAATTTTATCAAATACATTACAAGGATGGTCCTGCACCAAAAAGCAACATACTAATGCGAGGTGAGGTGATCATTCATATCGTAATTACTCTTGTTATGATGCCAGATCTGACTTTTTAAATTCTTGTATTTTCTATGGAAAAAAAAAATTAAGAGAAAAGAGAAAAACAAATGTGCATCTATGTACTTACCAACAGTGTACTCGAAGACCACGACGACAGTCATCACAGCCCACATAGCTGAACTCCCGAAGCCATTGTACAAGGGCCTAAGATAATAAAAGAGTGACACTAGAGTGAGCGCAGCTCCTACTTTGGCACCATGTATGACCTTCCTCGGACTATCTGCACCAATCTTCCAAACCTTCTTCCCAAACGTCGACACCTTCGATCTCAACTTTGATCCCAACTCGACCAGCCGATTCCAAGTCCTGGAAATCCAGCTCGGCTCGGGTTCCATCTTCACCGACGACCCTTCGGGGACTGTCACTCTCCATTCTAAACCTAAACCACCCGACACTTCCTTCTCGGTCGCCATTTCCTCGACTTGTGCTTGCCTAGCTAAGAGATAGCAAGGAACTCAAGTATTGCTTACAATTTCACCTCCTTTGTCTTGTAAACCATGGGAGACCGGACGTCATCTATATAAGGGTGGAAAAGAGATACGACATGTACGAGCAATGCGTAAATGGACCAATTGATATTGTTGACCAAACTCATGCGCAGTGGTACGGCGACACCAAATTAAATAATCGAAAAGGATTGTGGAAAGTGAGATGTCACGGAAGTTGGGTAAATTCGGTATACTGCTACTCGCTGTACATATCACTTGGGATGAAGGTTGGTGGATGCAATATGGAGTGTGTGTACTAGTCCACCGATGCTGTGGAAGAAGGATCGCAGCAGGCGAGGGTGGCAAGCTATTCTACTTTGAAAGGGTGTTGACTCGACATATGGTTTTGCTTTCATGGGGACACCACCTGACTCGGTCACCGTGACATGGTGAGGCTGAATCCATTCCGGACGCAAATATCTTCCGAGTGTGCTTTCCGTAGGATGACAGATGAAATTAGACTATCTCAAGGTTATCAAACCTGAACTGTTTTTCGGGATACACTGTCAGTTTGCTTGCTGAATACAGTAAAAATTGAATGGATGTGCCGTCCGAGCTGTCTTCCATAGGCTTATCTTCCTTTTGTCCTCGTATGGGTTCATGCTTTCAGGGATGCAACTAGGTGAGGAAGCTTCGGGTCACAAGAGAGAGATGTGAAACCAATCTAACAGGACGATTGCGATCGCTTTATGCCCACCATGATGCTTTCGCTATGTCAGAAGTATCCGTGTTGTTGTTGCCATTTGCACAAATATCGGTATATATTTGTTGTATCGTTTTTTCTTTAAAATATATGCATAGTGTCCGGATTACTTGATCTGATATCTCTGGGTTTATCCAATAGCATAGACCAGCACATGAAATTTTATTCTTGGTTTCAGCAGCAATTAAGTCAGCAAAGTGCAAAAAAGGTGGCGAAGCAGATGCTGCCATTTTTACTCAAGGTTTCTCTCAAATCCATCTTGAGTCCACCCAAGAAAGTAAACGAAGCCAGTTAAATAGCATCGTTTCATATATGGCCATCGCAAATATTTCATTTCTTTTTCGACTGAACAGCAAAATAGGTTTCTGGTATAGAGAAAATCATATTAAGTATCATCTGCATCGATTATGCACATCGGTTGTCCTTATATCCCACATTTGTGAGAGAGGTACTTCGAATATTTTCTCGATGGAATTTATGCTGATTGATACTGACATATACCATGACATAATTACTCTGAGGTGCCAGAAAAGCGGAAGATGCGCCCCGCAGACATCCTTATCTTTTAATTTACCCTCTGTTGTATACACCACCAAAGCAAATAAGCTGTAATCACAAATGCTTTCATGGGCAGAACAGATGCAGCTGATATCTCTCCTGTCTAACTCAACTAATAAGATCTACTTTGGCAACATCATAGCTTGCCTTAAATTCATGAACTTCTATGGTACTATGGTACCTTGATCTCCCGACATGAATCATGCTCGCTCCTCTAACTGTCATACCTTGATCATGAGTCAAGGGTTCAAGGAACGGGTCGTAGCGTTAGGGTAGATCATAAGTCTGAAACCAAGTTCTGTCATGTCTTAAATGTATCACCAACTTGCAAATGAGTCCATGTATCAAGTCTATTCACAAGTGAGAGATGTGAAACTAATCTAACAGGACGATTGTCATCGCTTTATGTCCACCGTGAAGCTTTCACTATGTCAGTAGTAACCATGTTGTTGCTGCCACTAGCACAAATATCAGTATATATTGTTGTATCGTTTTTCTTTAAAATATATGCGTCGTGTCCAGATTCCTTGATCTGATATCTCTGGGTTTGTCCAATACCGTAGGCCAAAACAAAAAAAATTAATTCTTGGTTTCAACAGCAATTAAGTCAGCAAAGTGCAAAAAAGGTGGTTAAGCAGATGCTGCCATTTTTAGTGAAGGTTTCTCTCACATTCATCTTGAGTCCACCCAAGAAGGTAAACGAAGCCACTTAAATAGCTTTTTGTTTCATATATGGCCATAGCATTGGGACTCGGGGGGCAGTCAAGAAAGCAAATATTTCATTTCTTTTTCGACTCAACAGCAAAATAGGTTTCTGGTATAGACAAAATCAAAAGTAAGTATCATCTGCATCGATTATGCACATCGGTTGTCCTTATATCCCACATATGTGAGAGAGGTACTTCGAATATATTATCGATGGAATTTATGCTGATTGATACCGATATACCATGATATAATTACTCTGAGGTGTCAGAAAAGCGGAAGATGCGCGCCCCCGCGCCCACCCCTCTCTCCCCACCCCCTTCCCCCCCCCCCCCCCCCCCCGGCCCCCAAGACAACCTTATCTTTGCCACCAAAGCAAATAAGCTGTAATCACGAATGCTTCCATGGGCAGGACAGATGTTGATATCTCTCTTGTCTAACCCAACTAATAAGATCTACTTTGGCAAAATCATAGCTTGCCTTGACTTTAAGAACTTCTATGGTATTATGTTACCTTGATCTTTCGACATGAATCATGCTCTCTCCTCTAACTATTGGTCAAGAGTTCAAGGTACTGATCGTGGTGTTAGGGTAGATCGTAAGTCTGAAAACAAGTTCTGTCATATCTTCTTAATATATCACTAACTTGCAAATGAGTCCACGTATCAAGTCTATTGATCCTTTGCCCACATAACCCCAAACGTGCCTGCTAATTGATCACCGTCGTTGCTTCCTGCAAATCTATTGGTCATGAGATTGCAAACATGATCACAATCTTCTTTGACGATCATATGACAAAGAGTGTGTTGGAATTATATAACAAAGGTATGCAATTTAATTTATATATATCCATGCCAAGTTTTGCTGCTGCTATCTGGTGCATATAAAGCATCTGAGAGAGAGAGAGAGAGAGAGAGAGAGAGAGAGAGAGAGAGAGAGATG